TATAACAGGGGAAAGAAGATGGACAAATTTGCAGTTTCCCCCGTGAATGATAAGAGAATGTCCCTAAGCGACATCTTAACTATAAAGATCCATGGATTAAGTAACGGACATACATATACAAGTTTTCTATTGGCAAAAGGAAGCCATAAAATTTATCATGTACTCATATAGTCTTATTCCTTAAATTATGAGTATGTTATTCATTCAATCAAATAAGTTATAACTGCACTCCAGCTTTAGCCATGTTGAATATATTTGGGTGGCAATTTACAAGTATCCTAAATGCACTTAAGAACCAAAAGTTGAAGATTTTAAGATCAAACCAATTTTGTGATACAAAGTTTGGTCAAAATATATCTTTTTATATACTAATGTGACTCCTTATTGGTTATTGCAATATAAGAAATGATGTGTGTTGGTAATCGCAATGCCATAGTTCTTCCAGCCTTCAGCTGAATCGCACCATAAACTAGTGGTGGAGAATAGCGACGCTAAAAGATGCAATCGGGGTGCATTTTGGCCTTGAAATAGCGGTGTGAAAATTGTTATTGGGATTAGGGATTTTCAAGCTTCTAGTAATATCACTAATAAGTTAAGGTGTCAATTGGCGTTGAACTGCTCGCAGGATTTCAACAAAGTATCATCTATTTACTTATTCTCCCTCATCTCTTAATCCAGCAAAGCATCGTCTTCTTAAGTTTTTTTGTTTGTAACTTCATCTTCTCTCGACTATAAGTATGTAAGTTTTGTTTTCATCATCAATTCTTCACTTCTCTCCTTTTCTCGAGTCTTGATTGTTAGTTGAACACATAATGGCGTAGATATCAATTAATGTGTTGGGGTTAGTCTTGTACTTCTCACTTCTTAATAATAAACTAACATGTTTATATATGAGTTCAGGACTTTCACTTCTCAATAATAAACCAACTTGTTTGACCACCATTGCACTCATACTTGCTTAACATACCTTTCTTTAGCGCTTAACCTAACTCTCTCGTCTAAGGTGCATTTGAGGGCTAAGACTTGCTCTTGAATCTAACGTCATCAATATCTGATGGCCAGTAATAAAGAATGCATTCAAGTCAATTCTTCAAAACCCAATCTAACTTAATGGACCAAGAGAAGGCCAAAGAATAGAAAATCTTAACTATTTATAATGTTTTCACCTATTAAAACTCTATGAGATCAAAATGCTAACGCATTGAATCATTTATGTAGTGCAAAATTCTTTAAAGCATGAAACATATATTGAAAAATAACTCATGTAACCAAGTTAAAACACAATTATGAACACAAAGAAAAGATTCGTATCAGAGAGGCAATGAAGAACCATACTGTATTTTCGTCCATATCATGAGTCGGCCAACGGATTCCATTGCTATAGAAAGCTTTATCTAGCATTCTGCGATTTCCTTCACAAAAGCCTGGCATCGACACAAGAAAAAAGCCTACGAGAACACCTAAATAACCTAAGCTCCTCTCGTCCATTGGCTTCTTAATCTACTTTCCAGTTCCATGATTCTACCCTTCCCATTTCATTAATTTTTTTGCATAAAATCACCCCATATTAACCATAAATCCCTATAATCCATACCCTAGTTCAACCAACAATCCCTTTTCCCTTTACACGAATCAAAATGTCTCCAAATTTGTAGAAGGAAAATGACATTGTTTTAGCTGCAATCTCCAATCAAAACCCTCAATTTCCAAAAAAAAAATTGGGGGTTTTTTCGTGATGTTGGTTTCATAACGAAATCTTCAAACAAACAAAACCCACAACATTCAAAACTTCACCAATCTACCATAGATTTCTTGTGAATTTATATTGGAATGCACTATCGAATAAGAAACCCAGAAGAACACTCAAAAGCTATATAAAATTCTTAACCAAAAATGTTGATCTACCCAACCCAATAAGAATTGGAAAACGAATCTGTTTTACAAAATCGAAGAAAGAACTAACCTCAATTGTTGAATGATCAAGCAGAGAGTGCACACAAATTTAAAAAATATCAGAATGCAGGTAAAACTATTGTATAATTGCTTGGAGGATTTGAAAAGGAAACAAGAAACCCTTGGTTTTGTGTTCGTCAGAACATTTTTGGTTGTTCAGAAACTTCTTTGGGTTCCGGAGGGAGACGTGGCAGATAGGTAAGGTGGTTACCGGATGATAATTGAATTTAGAGTAAACTACAAATTTGGTCCTTTGGTTTACATCTAACTACGAATAGCGTCCCTAAACTTCATTAAGGGGTTGTTTGGCAATTGCTGAATTGTTTGGTGTAAAAGGATTAAGTGGTCAGAATGACTAAAAGACTCTCATGATGTAGTGTAAAATGAAATGTAATTGTTCGGTAGTTATATACAATGGAATTAGGACGCTATATGGTTAAGGGAGACTCATTATACAAAATCATTCAGAGGCTTTTAGAACCATTAAGAGAAAGACTTTTTTACACCAAACAAGATTTATCTCTTAACGGTTCAGATGTTGACTCTTAATAGAACTATTAAGAGGTAAACAAATAACTCCTATGTATAATAATAGTCCCTGTGATTTCGATTTTGCTTTGAAAGTGGTCTTTCTAAATAAAACTCACCCGCAATCAAAATTAAAACCAAATCAAAACCCAACCTAAATCAAACCTAAAACCCAAATCAAAATCAACACCCAACCTAAATCACATCTAAAACGTTTTTAAAAAATATCCAACAGCCTGTAGCACCCCCTTTGTTTGACTGAGCAGCACCAGGAAACCGTTTGCACCACCATCTTATGTCGAGAAACACCCAAAAAAAGACCATCTCCAGTACCCACTTTGTTTGACTCTCATCGAAGAAATTACAACTGGTTTTGATGCATGTGTTTGTAAATGGATTCGTACGTGTGTTCATTTGTTAGAGATGATCAACACAACAAAAGCAAAACACACATAATTTTGAATAATTATTTGAAGCGTGGAAATCTTAAGATCAAAAGTTCAAGAATATAGCGAAAAGCATTTTTGGGACAACCGTCTTCGAATATACCATCCACAAGACAAACCCAAGATACAAAGTTTAAAAAAATAAACACTCCCTTCCCTTCAAAATCAATTAAACGCTAACCCCAGAAAATTTAAAATCCGATTGAACATTTGTGTTATACTAACCATAGCTTTCAATCAGATTAAAGAAATGGGAAAAAGATGTAGAAACCCCTTATTTGGGTCTTCGTCCCTACGTGTACCATATGAAGGGGTGGTAGTGGAGTTCGGTAGGGAGGGAGTTGTTGCAATAATGGTGGAGATATTGCCGAAGAATTGGTAGTATAGCGATGTTAATCGGGAAATGAACGACATGGACCAAGTTTGGGGGTGGGTTTCACAAACCACCACATAACTGTTGTGGCTGCCACTATGTCACTAGAGTTTGGGCGCGAGGGGTTCACAAAGTAGTCCAAGACTGTGTGCACGGTACCGTTGGGTACCTACAATCGGAACCGACGGGTACCTGTATTATATTTAATAAGCTAAAACTAAAATTATTAATTTACCTTTTAGGGTTACAGTTAGTCACTTACCACCAACACTTGATCTCTCCTCCAAACCGAACACGATCTCATGGTCTTTTCTCCAAATCGATTTCTAAGCTCAATCCTTCAAAAGGTTGAAGGGAAATAGTGCATCAAGTTGTTCGCAAGGGTCTGCACTCGATTTCTCTCCAAGGAAACAAATTTGCAGTCAATTTTTTCTCCATGTCTATTGTTTGTGCTTGTTTGTCGATTTCTTCAGTATTGCTTTTTTACTTTCATGTTACACCCTATATTTGTTTAATAGCATATTCTTATGGTTTTATTACCTTTTATTTGCTTTTGTTTTTCTGTTCTTGATGGATACAATAAGTTTTTTTGTTCATAAGTAAATTATCCTCAACAACCTAATGGATACGATAGGTTTTATTGTTCATGGATACCATGGATTTGATTCAGTAGGTTTTTTTGTTCATGGATACCATAGGTTTGATTCAGTAGGTTTTTTTTTTGTTCATTAGTAATGTTTCCTTTACATTGGTGCTTTGTAGTATTTATTCTTTACATCGGATTAGTTTTCACAGTGTGTAGTATTTATTTTACGTGGATGCTTTGAAATAGATTAATAATTACTTTTTAATACTATGAAATGATAAACTTTTTAAAAAAATTAGACACCGGGTACCCGGTATCGCAACTAAAATCGGAGGTTCTGAGACTGGTTACCAAATATAAAGAACTGGTGTAACTAGGGCTATAAACGAACCGAACATTTAGCGTACCGTTCGCGAACCGTTCGGTGGGAAGTTCTTTTATGTTCGTTTATTTAATAAATGAACGAACATGAACAAATTTTTTTGTTCGTTTAGTTAAACGAACGAACATGAACAAGAGTCATGTTCGTTCATTTATGTTCGTGAACGTTCGTTCGTTCGTTTACGTTCATTTATATTCGTTCGTTTATATACTAAATTTAATATATAATCTTTTGTTTATTTATTTTGAATTCAAATAATATTTATTTACGTTCGTTTATGTTCGTTTGTTTACGTTCGTTTAGCATGTTAACAAACGAACATAAACGAACACGAACACACTTGGTTTCTAAACGAACGAACACGAACACAAAGATTTTCATTCGTTTACCGTTCGTGTTCGTTTGTTTGTTCGGTTAAGTTAATTGAACAAACATGAACAAGCCTTCGTTCGTGTTCGTTTGGTTCGTTTACAGCCCTGGGTGTAACCGGTTCCGGTTCCAGGAATTTTGGCGGGGACCCGCCTTTGCTCACCCTTAATTTCTAAGATTGTTTTATATTTTTGTTAACTCCTTGATTTTTATATGACATTTTTTCAGCCGTTTAGTTAGATCAACATTTAGTTTTTCAACTTTAATTTTGTTATTCAAAGCGTTATAGAGATCAACAATCAGTAAATCAAGACCTGAACTTCTATCAGCGTCCGTTAAAGAGTAATCATTCAGATTTAGTACCTGAGAAGTACTAGAATATTTTGTTGAGGAAGAAGTTTCAGATGGCTCATCCTTAACTTCTTTGATCTTGGCCATAAGACAGAGATAGGTCATATCTTCTTCGTCGGAGGAGGATTCATTAGAAGAGTCCGTCCAGTCACGATCTTCAGCAATCATGCTTTTTCTTTTCCGATTGTGGTTTTTGATCTTCTTATACTTCTCCTTCAATTTCAGATACTTGTCATCTTTAAATTTGAAGGAAGAGGAGGTTTTTGAGACTTTCTTCGACCTGTTCTCATTAACAAAGTGTCCTTTTCATTCACAGTTAAAACGTATCATTGAAGCTTTATCAACAGGTGTTGATTTTGGCTTGTCAGTGATAGCCAAAGGTTGGTTTCTTTCGAAAGTTTTTCTTTCTAGAAAATCTTCTAAATATGTTAGATAGAAGAGCCAGTGACTCGTCAAATTTCGATAGATCAACGTCTGTTAAGTCCTCAGAGTTAGAAGGATCAAACTCAATGATAGTAAAAGTGGAGGGACTATTTGACTGGATAGTCCCTGAAGAGATCAAAGCAACATGTGAGCTTTTGGAATCTTTTGAATCTCTGATGATATTCTTTTTTCAGCTGTCGAGGTTGCTCATGGTTGCTCACTAAAAGATAAACTTTGAAGGTCTTTTGATATCTTGAGATACATACAATACGTATCCCAGGTTTCAGATTGACATTCCAAGAATTTTTCAGAGTCTCAGAGTTAGAATATTATCCACCTGTTTTAAGGTTAATTAATAGGCAGTTAAACCTTTGATGTCCTTTAGACAAAGATTTTTTTTTACCACATATGAACATTTCATATTGCCTCGCCAAATTTATTTTTCTAGTCTATTGTACTTTAGTGGTACTTTCATATTGAACACAAAGTGTGTCCCACATGGCGTTAGAAGTTTTAAGGTTCATAATAGAATGATATACCTCATCAGGGAGTGCCATAACAATGACAGTTCTGGCTTTGGTGTCAATAGCCACCTTCTTCCTGTCATCATATGTCCATTGGTGAGCTTGTTTTGCTACATGTTCTTGAGATACGACAATAGTAGTAGCAGTGGCAGGTATAACTTCTATGGTTACTGAGGAAACATAGGGTCCATTACCAATATAGTAAGGGGCCTCAAGATCTACACATTCTAAAAAGAGAGACATACGATTCTTCTACAGACTAAAGTTATCTCTGTTGAATCATGAATGTTTGGCAAGAGAGTCGTTATCATGATGGTTGTTATTTATGTTGGGCATAGCCATTTTGAGAGATAGCTAAAGAAGTATGAAAAGGAAGAGAAACGTCGCTTTGATACCACTTGTTGTCCCCAAAGGGGTTCTACAAGTATGAACAATTTATAGGGGGGATGAATACAAACAAACAATATTTTACTTTTAAAATTCTATAAATGATTAACGAAAAACCAATATGGAATTTACAAATTGTTGCGGAACTAGATAAAGAAAAATCCTAATTTATACAATCTTGAGATCACAAATTATTGCATAAGAAAAGTAAGATCGAAAGAGAAGAGAGTTAGAAAATGTAGAAAACGTGACTGAGAAGAAGACTTTTTTCAGCTATTTATACACATTGCATTAAATGCATCTCAGAAGGTGCAATCCATGTATCAATAGATGATTGGAATGCTTGTATTTGTTCATCATATTTGGCAGGCTTTTGGCCACTCATGAACAGTTGCTTCAGATAGAGATGGGTCGTTGAGGACTCCTTCAGCTATTGCTGAGTCTTGTTTAGATTTCACATTTTGAGGTGGACAATCATGATATCACTAAATGCTCTTTCAGATCACGAATAGACCATCTTTATCTTTAGCTACTTCTTTGACATCGTTGAAGTTTTCTTTTGGTATGAATTTGTCTTTAAAGGACTTAAGTTCTAAACTGTTACATTATATGCTCAACGATAACTAAACAGACTTAGTCTTATCTTATCGTTGCACTGAAATATTGAAAATATAACTTAAGAGGGAGGGTGTTTTCGCCTTTTTGATATTGCCAAAAGGAGGATAATTTGTGATGTTATATTTTGTCGGGTTTGTAATATCATCTCACATGTTTTGTCGTCATAAAAATGGGGAGATTGTTGGTGCAAGTATACGAAAATTGATTTCATTATACACTCTTGACAATCCCGTTGATGATTGACAAATAAAAAACCCGACTTTATTTGTTTTCTAACTTTTTAATTCCCTTGTGAATGTTTTGTTTATAATCTTACAAGGTTTTGATGAAATGATTCTTCAATCGTCAAATCTACACAAACATAGAGCCACAAAGAAAGGTGTGTACTTTTGACAAAGCCGTAAATAAATTATTCGGTCTCTCATTTCACATAGATTCTGAGAATGATGCACTCTTGCACACGGCCTCTGACGCATATTTGGTTGAGATCATGACTTTCCTTGGAATGCCTGAGACTGATTGGAAGCCTTACACTCATTTCATGTTGAAAACCTTTAAGACTGCCAATTTGTCCTCTGATAAGAATGTTTGGATAAGCTTTATTAGACATTATTTATCATCGACTAATCACAACAGCTCCATTTTTGTAGAAAGGTTGGTGCTTTTGTTTAGTCTCATAACAGGTGAGAACATCAACTTTCGTGAAAACATTCTGAAGGCCATCAAGGTAGATAATAAGAGTCTGTTTAAAGAGAATGAGAAGTTGAAGAAGGAGATTGCAGCTCAGGCTTAAACCACTTTCTTTAGCTTCCATATTTTCTTTCTTTTGAGTCGGGGACAGTTTTTATAGCTTTTTAGTATTATTTTTATGCATGATCACTTGATTTGAGGACTGTTACATATGGGATCATAGCCCCAATAATTCTGTTGATTACTTGTCATTCACTCAAGATATTTTGTTCTTGCTAGAACTAGCAAACCTCTTTTTGGGAAACACTTTGATCACATAATCTACATTAGGAAATAAAATAGGCCTTTTTTTCTATGATCCTAATAGCTACTTGCACCTTTCAAACACCATATACCCCACAAAGCTCCAATGAGGACATTGTCGTATTGAAGTTTGGGGGATGAGTGTTATATAAGGACAAAAGTTCAATACAAAAGAGTAAAGCTCTAATTTAACTCCTTATCAGAAAAGGTCTTTGAAAAACACAACAAAAGTCCCATAGGGGCTATGTGTTTTGAAAAAGCACAACAAAAGTCTCATAGGGGCTATGTGCACACTCCAATCAAAAGAGGCCAAAGTGCCCAAAAATTGAAAATTTTATATGTGGATTATAGAAGGAAAAAGGCTATGAGAGAAAAGAATTGCCAAAGAGAGTAAACCCTATAAGCCCTATTGATTCTAAAAATGTGATTGTGTGTGAGCTTAACAAAGAAAAGGGCAATGCTAGCCAATGGTTCATACAAAAACTTGGTTTTGAGTGACTCATCTTGGATTTATGAAAGGCTATGAACTTCATGTTTGGTATAACTCTCATTGGGTGGGCACTTAATGCCTTGGTCATACATTTTTGTTCAAATTGAGTCTTTTTGTTTGGCTTTTGGTTGCTTGGGGACAAGCAACGGTTTAAGTTTGGGGGTGTGATGTATGTTGAGAATTCAACATATAAAGCACTCGTTTTACGTTTTAGTAGTTAAATTAGTCTCCTTTCATTCCCACTTTGAGTCATTTTTATTAATTTCTTTATGCATCTGTTATTATGGAGCTAAATAATTGTGGTTAACTTGTGGGAACTTAAGGATAGAAGCTAATAGAGATTTTTTGTTAAACAGCATGATGCTACAACATTAGAGCAGCGGCGATCTGATACATGCACGACTTTTTGGAGAACTTATTGATTAAGCTGCTGCCTTTTTGAGCTTTGTGGAAGACAGCTGGAGATTGCTGGAATCTGGGATTAAAACTCTTGTTAGGAATATTGTACTATCTAGTTCCTCTAATTGTACTTCAAAGTTAGTTTTAGGAAGCTTAGCCCCTAAGTTTTGTCCTTTTGTCTTTTAGTGACTCTTTGGTGTATAAAAGGAGGGCTTGGGTTTCACTTTTAGAGACATTCTAACATACTCTAAAACCAGCTCTCTCTCCATGGCTGATTTGTAGTTAACTTTTGAAGAAATACAAGTTCTTAATTTTTAGCTTTTCATCTTTAATTTTCTTGTCTTTTAATTTTTGTTCTATACTTTATGTTCCTTTACGTTTATTGTCATTTACATTCCGTTATTTAATTTCCGCAATTTACTTTCTCGCAATTTACTTTCTCGTCATTTACTTTCTCGTCATTTATTTTCCGTTTGTTACATTTATGTCTTTACTTTCCGTCATTTACTTTACTTGTCATTTACTTTCCGTTATGAGTAGCTAAGTTTATATAGCTTGGGTGTGAGACAGAAATGTGAGATTTTCAAACCAAAATAAAGTAGCTAAGTGTTTTCATAAACGACGTTCCATTGTTTCATTCGAGTTTTTATAAAACCAAGTACACTTCTTGACGGATTGATCACTTTGAAAGTGTTAAAGTGCCATGGACTTAGAGATAAACCATTGAATGCACGTCAACTTGAATGATATAAGAGGTAGACTTGAGAAAGTTGCCGACAAGGAGACTTGTCATTTATGTCTTTCAAACTTAACTCCTGACGGGTTGGTCACTCTTTAAAAGTGTCAAAGTGCGATAGATTCAAAGATGAACTATCTATAACACATGCCAACTCGAATGATATGGGAATCGACTCGAGAGAGTGATTTTTAACAAAGATATTTGTTTATCCATATATCTTGAAGACACCATCTTGTCACTATCCCTGGTCCGGACACCACATAAAGATATGGGTGGAAAGTTATAATATAGTGCAATGGTGAAGTCCGAGAGAAATACCTTCAAAATAGATGGTGGAACTAAGTTTTGAAACACTGCTTGCTGTAGCATTCCTATAGCATTGGCTGCTGGAAGTTGTGTTTGGGTCTCACCACAAGTCTTACACCATTGCTATCCTTATATATATTCTGTAATCTGTTTTAAATCACCTTAACACCAAACAAAAGTCTTCAAATTCATCATTTGAAATCATCTCTTTCATTGGACTCTCATCTAACTTTTGCTACAATCTCCGTGGACGATAATCCGGTACTTGTACCACTTTATTACTTGGAAAGACGATATTGGACCGTATTGTATACTTGCTTTGTGGTCCATTTCATTAGTCTAAAGGTGTGCGATATAACCGAACCACATACGCATCAACTCCTGACATTGCAAACTAGATCCATATAGCAACTCTTGTGTGTATGCATGTCCACTCATAGCTGAAGTGTTATATCGTACCCTCTCGATTCTTGTTGACAAATTTAGGGATGGTGATTTGGCCCGACCCGGTGGGGAACCCGGTTCACCCGACCCGGACGGGGACGGGGATTCCCCGCTAAAACGGGTACGGGGGCCGGGGATCCCCGGTAGAGGCAAACCGGGGTTGGGGCCGGGGCCGGGGCCGGGTATTGTATCCCCCGACCCGCCCCGTACCCGGTATATATATAAATATTAAACATTTTGATTATTTGGGCTTATAATTGATATGTGCGGCTTGTTGGACTTATGGACTTGTGCTTGTAATTGATATGTCCATCGACTCCATCCCTAGTCTTCTACTCTTCTTGGCTAGTTGACTTCTTGGAGACTTCGTCTCGTCCACACTCCAGTCTCCACTCTCCACAAACGCCAGACGGTCCCTCACACTCCACGATTCTACAGCCGGTCGACCCTCACATCATCCACGATTCTACACCGTCGACCCTCGTGACCTCCTGTTGGTCCCAAAAGGGTCTACAAGAATACTAAACAGTTTGTAGAAGGGGGGGATGAATACAAACACAATTTTCAAATTTAAAATATATATTGATAAAGAAGATCAATACA